GAGATGTCAGGCCCCCAAAACAAGACTGGTGATACTTTCAAGCTGACCCCTGATGGGTAGTCCTCGCCTTACGACAGTTTGTTTAGTGATCGTTCGAAGTTACAACAGCCCTGAAAAAAAGTGACATAGGACCGGTGTTTCGCACTTAGGACCATTGAAGCATCCCTGGTGGTCACGAGATCAAAATTCAGGGGCTTGGCAACTGACTTGTATTTATGACGGTCGTAGCATCCTGGGGTCACGCGATTCCCTTTGGTGACGTTCATTTTTCCTTTATCTTTTTGATTGTCACATCGTTATTCCTAATTTTTTCCGGAATGAAATCCCAGATATGGAAATATTATTTTATTTATCATCCTCTTTAGCAAATCTTTTGTTAGCCACCTGAATAATCTGAGGTCCAGAAATCCAAATTGGGATTTCTGAATGTGCAAAAAGAGATTGCTGTTGTTGTGACCTGCCAGTGGCCAGCAGAGCTGGCGGCAGATTTGGACAGTGAGGAGGTTGGGGAGGATTATGGGCCAGTCCTGGAGTCTGGGGAAGGCTCTGACGAAGGCTCTGCATCGGAGGCAGGGATGGGGACAGGGCCATCCGACAGTTATCAGCTGCCTTCGGAGTTGGAGATCAGTGGGGAAGAAGAACAGCTGGAGCCTGTTCCCAGTGTGCGCATGCACAGAGCTGCCAGACGAAGGGAACAGCTGAGGAACAAGGGTCGACTTGGGAGTAAAGGCTCAGGAGGACGGTGAATGGCCCCTCCCATAGGGAATAAAGAGGAGCAAAAGGGGAGTGGGGTTTGCAGGAGGGGAAGAAGAACAGCTGGAGCCTGTTCCCAGTGTGTGCATGCACAGAGCTGCCAGAAGAAGGGAACAGCTAAGGAACAAGGGTCGACTTGGAAGTAAAGCCACAGGTGGACAGTGAATGGCCCCTCCCATAGGGAATAAAGAGGAGCAAAGGGGGAGTGGAGTTTGCAGGAGACAGTTCAATTCATGAGGGTGAAGATCTGTTCCTGATTTCTTGCCAAGTCATTGCTGCTACAGTGTGGCGTTTGGAAGCTATCGGCCTGGCAACTCTTGAAAGACTGTTGGCCGTGACTTTGTTGGAGAGGAATTCACTGTAAACAAAATAAAAAGGTGGTTTTTTTTAGGACGAGGAGTCGGTCAGGACAGCTGCGTTCTCAACAAACATATTTCGTCTTCTCAGCAGGTTCACCAACAAGAAGGATTTCAAAGGCGAAGCCCGCTTTTCCAAAAATTACGCCGAGAGGCGTTTACAAAGGTTGTATCCTCAGTTGCACCTTCATTCCAGACTAGGTAAGTTGTGGCCTCTTCATGGTTATAAGGAAGTGGGAAATTCGTGTGTGTGTGTGTGTGTGTGTGTGTGTTGGGGATGGGAAGCGTCGAGGAATCCTAAACATTGACTTTAATCTTACCAATACAGACAGCCCTTGACTTAGAACAGTTCATTTAGCGATCGACGTTATGACGGCGCTGAAAAAAGCGACTTCCGACCATTTTTCGAACTCAAGACTGTTGCAGGGGTCACACCATCCACATTTAGACCCTTGGCAACTGACTCGTATTTATGACGGTTGCAGTGTCCCAGGGGTCACGTGTTCCCCTTCTGACTGGCAAAGTCGACGGGGTAGCCCGATTCACTTAACAAACTCCCCTTTCACGACACTCATCCCTTCAGTAATTCGGGGTAGAGTCGGGGCCAGGGGTGGGATTCAAAAATACCAGCAACCGATTCACTGCCCGGTTGCTGGGTGGGCATGGCCATGGTGGGCGTGGCCTACCAAAACTTCGGAGAGGGCCATTTTTCACCTTCCCCAGAGTCCGGAGGCTTACCTCAGGCCTCTGGGAGGAGAAAAACAGTCTCCCCCGGGCTCTGGAGGCCCTCTGGAAGCTGGAAACAGGCCCGTTTCCAGACTTCTGGAAGGCCCATTTCACCCCCCCAGAGCCTCCCCCCAGATCCTGCATTTACCTGCATTGAAAATGGGCCACGTGGAGACTCCTGGGAGGGGAGGGGCTGGTTTACCCAAACTGGTCCGAACAGGTAGAATCCCACCCCTGGTTGTGGCAACTGGATGGAGCTGAGCGTTTCCTGGCCGGATGCCTTTCCCGACACCACATGGGAGTTCACAGCAGATTTTTTTTTTTTCTCTTTGCACCCGGGGAGAGAGAAATATTTGCCGCTAGCTAGGATTGAACTCTCAACCTTCTGAACGGGAGGCGATTAGCTTCACCGCTAGGCAGGGGTGGGATTCTACCAGTTCTCACCTATTCGCTAGAACCGGTTGTTAACATTCTAAGCAGTTCGGAGAACCGGTTGTTAGAAGAAATTACTGGGCTAATCCTGTAAGGAAGGCAGGAAGGAAACATTCTGGTGTTGCTTACAGAAACTGCTTCTCCGTTAACCCTCATTACATTCTTGACAGGATTAGACTTCCTGTCTCTGGAACTTCTCTGGAGTTTTTCTTTCCCCCTTTGCTGGTACTTTACTTGTTTGGAGTGACCATTCAAAGTTACAATGGCACTGAAAAAAGTGACTTATGACCTTTTTTCACACTTACGACTGTTGCAGCATCGCCACAGTCATGAGAGGCCAGGCGAGGAGATGCGTGCCTCGATGTGAGTGATATTGAGTTGGCCACACCCAGCCAATAAGATGACCACCAAGCCATGCCCACCCAGTCACATGACCACCAAGCCACACCCACCACCTAAGCCACACCCACAGAACCAGTTGTTAAAAAATTTGAATCCCACCCCTGCCGCGAGACCCGCACGCCGCTCCCAGAATCACCGGACAATCGGGTGACTAATTTAAGGACGGCGGCGATCCACTTAACAAACGTGGCGAGGAAAGCCATACAACAGGGCAAAAGTCGCTCGACACATTTCTCGCTCAGTTGCCTTCGTAAGTCGAGGACTACCTGCAAACAGAGTTCGCATAGTCATTCTCCCGCTTTTTTTCCTTGCAGATGATTTGAAAAATCAGCCTCTTCCGAGGATTGAAGGATGGTCTGCCGCGAAGTTTCAGTGGGAGCCTCTCACCCTTTCCTGCCTGACCGAAATGAAACCCACATTTATCGTCCCCGGAGAAGACGGCTTTAGACACGGGAACGCCCCTCTCTGGATTGTAAATAACTCAGTGGTATTAAATTCCCCCTAGTAAAATCTTAGCTCAGTGACTGCATTCTGCAAGGTTGGTTTCTCTGTGATGCGGAGAGTTTGGTTCCTACCGAGGGGCGGGGGGGAACTGTGGCCCTTTGATGACTGGTGGACTTCCACTCCCAGAATTCCTGAGCCAGCCTCTTTGGCTCAGAAATTCTGGGAGTTGGAGTCCACAAGTCATCAAAGGGCCACAGTAAAGGGGGCCATGCTGGCTCAGGAATTCTGGGAGTTGAAGTCCACGGGTTGTAAAAGGGGGCCCTGCTGGCTCAGGAATTCTGGGAGTTGAAGTCCACAGGTTGTAAAGGGGGCCATGCTGGCTCAGGAATTCTGGGAGTTGGAGTCCAATTCTGGGAGTTGGAGTCCATGCTGGCTCAGGAATTCTGGGAGTTGAAATCGACAGGTTGTTAAAGGGGCCATGCTGGCTCAGGAATTCTGGGAGTTGAAGTCCAGAGGTTGTAAAGGGAGCCATGCTGGCTCAGGAATTCTGGGAGTTGAAATCGACAGGTTGTTAAAGGGAGCAATGCTGGCTCAGGAATTCTGGGAGTTGAAGTCCACAAATCATAAAGGGGCCGTCCTTCCCCCCCCCCCCTCTGTAGGAGAAGGTCTTGACCACCAATGGAGCACAATATTTAATGGGAAGGGGGATTCTGGGAAAAAGTCATTCCTGCGCCAGATTTTGATTTTATTCTGGTGGAGTTTGCTTGAACTTTGCTGGCAGTTTAACTGCCAAGTAGAGAAATTGTCCCGCTTTTGCGAGCAGAGAGAATTTTTGTTTCTGTATGGTCCTAGGTGGTCTCTGGGCTTAGTGGCTTTGTTGAAGACATTTCATGACCCAAGGAGGTAATATCATCAGTGCTGAAGGGAGTGGGGTTTGTGGAGGGGAGGAGGAGGAGAGGAGAGGAGGGAGGAAGAAGAGAGAGAGGAGGAGGAGAGGAGGGAGAGGAAGGAGAACTTGTTGGTCTCTTGAACTTGGTGTTTTTGTTGCAGACGTTTCATGACCCAACGAGGTAATAGCATCAGTTCTGAAGGGAGTGGGGTTTGTGGAGGGGAGGAGGAGAAGAGGAGAGGAGGGAGGAGGAGGAGGAGGGGAAGGAGGGAGAGGAAGGAGAACTGTAGAGTCCTTGTTGGTCTCTTGAACTTGGTGTTTTTGTTGCAGACGTTTCATGACCCAACTAGGCAATATCAGCAGTGTTGAAGGGGGTGGGGTTTAGGGAATGGGGTTTGTGGAGAGGAGGACAACTGTGGAGTCCTTGGTGCTCTCTGAGCTTGATGACTTTCCTGCAGATGTTTCATGACCCAGCTAGGTAACATCATCAGTGCTAGAAGGAGTGGCATTTTCTCTCAGTTAATATACAAGTGGGTTGCCCTGTTAGCATTGGTTGGGGTAGCCTTGGTGGCTCCTGGGTTAGGTTGTTGTTTACCAACAATCAAGCAGGAAACATTACCTCAATCAAGGAACTACAAATCTTTGTCTGTCAGACATTAAACAACAACCTTAGGCATGAAAGCCGGCTGGGTTCCTTTGGGCCAAACCCCAGGAGATGGTGAGTTCTAGTCCTGCCTTTGGCATGAAACCACCTGGGTGACTTTGGACCAATTCCCAGGAAACGGTGAGTTCTAGTCCCACCTTAGATTGGAAAGCCAGCTGGGTGACGTATGAATTTTGATTAAGTGAACACTGCAACAGTCGTAAATGTGAAAAACTCACAAGGCCCTTTTCCCAATGCTTTTATAACTTTCAACAGTCGCTAAATGAATTGTTGTACGCTGAGGGCTACCTCTACATTGACAAACAGTCCCCGGTAGACATACCATCCGAAGACACAGATTGCAAAATTGACTTTATTAGGTGCTTAGAAAGGAAGGAACAAACCATATTCCTAGCAAGCCAGGATGTACCATGTTGGCTGGTTTACGCCTGCATCATCAGGTTAGGCTGAAGAAGCCGGGATAGTCTTGGGTAGAGGGGGTCAGTATTCTTGGTCATCTTCGGCGTCAGATCTACAAAGCCTCGTATCTTGTCCGACTTCTTCGTAATCCTTCTCCAGAGCCGCCAGATCTTCTCGGGCTTCCGCAAACTCTCCTTCCTCCATGCCCTCGCCCATATACCAGTGGATGAAAGCTCGCTTGGCGTACATGAGGTCGAACTTGTGGTCCAGACGGGCCCAGGCCTCGGCGATCGCCGTGGTGTTGCTGAGCATACAGACGGCCCGCTGGACTTTTGCCAGGTCTCCTCCGGGCACCACGGTGGGTGCCTGGTAGTTGATGCCCACTTTGAAGCCGGTCGGGCACCAGTCGACAAACTGGATGGACCGCCGGGTTTTGATGGCCGCGATGGCCGCGTTGACGTCCTTCGGCACCACGTCTCCCCGGTACAAGAGGCAACACGCCATGTATTTGCCCCGCCGTGGGTCGCACTTGACCATCTGGTTGGAGAACTCAAAGCAGGCGTTGGTGATCTCCGGCACTGAGAGCTGCTCGTGGTAGGCTTTTTCGGCCGAGATGATGGGGGCGTACGTGGTCAGGGGGAAGTGGATGCGGGGGTACGGCACCAGGTTGGTCTGGAATTCGGTGAGGTCAACGTTCAGGGCCCCGTCGAATCTCAAAGAAGCAGTGATGGAGGAGACAATCTGCCCGATGAGACGGTTGAGGTTCGTGTAGGTTGGGCGTTCGACGTCCAGGTTTCGGTTGCAGATGTCGTAGATGGCTTCGTTGTCCACCATGAAGGAACAGTCCGAGTGCTCCAGGGTGGTGTGGGTGGTCAGGATGGAGTTGTACGGCTCCACCACGGCGGT